TACTCTCTCGACTAGGAACGATCAGAGTTGTCTTTCTTCATTTTTTTTTTTTTTGTCGGAAACAGTGGTTCAGCCTCTAACCCGCGCCGTTGGTGAGATCGCGCCGCCGCTGCTCATTCAGATCCTCAAGGTTTTATTGTTTTGTTTTTATTTTGTTTTGTTGGGTTATGTTGGTCTGTTCTCTTTACTCACGGGGAAGGAAATGAATAACTTTTTTTTTTCTTTTGTTGATTTCTTCTTTCGACTAGTGTTCACCTAGTCTAAATGAAAACATATAACTAAGAGGAAAAACAAGATTGAATCAATAAATAAAAAAGGAACAAAACATATCATTCTTGTCACAAAATAGAAAACTAATGAGTTTTGAGTTTGAGTTTGATTGAATTATCTATGCTTATGAACTAACATAGGGGCAGAATTAGAAACATGTTTCGATTTATTCAGGGGTTTCAAACAGGGGGTTAAACCTCGGAAACCTCTATTAACGTGATACGTTCTTTTTCTTCTTGCTTTTGAATCTCTTCTGACTTGGGAATTCTCTTTTCCAAGAGGTAGGGCTAAGGTTTATATTTAGGAAAGCCAAAGATGCAGCAACCACCGCAAATGATGCCCATGATGCCTTCATTCCCCCCCACCAATATCACCACCGAACAGATTCAAAAGGTCGCATTTCCTCTTCCTTCTTTACTTCCTACTCAAACGCCCATTTTTGTGCATATGGTATTGTAGTGATTGCTCGATGGTGTGTTTGATTTTATGGAACTTTGTTTATGGCCCTGGTTGTGATAGTGAAAGACAAATGCTTTTGTTCTTGATAAGTTAATAGCTTCAACTTGATTGGCTCCTTTAATGACTAGAGGTTTGCGGATGGAAAGAACTAATAACGCAGGCTTCGTAATGTAATGGAGATCATTATTTATTTATTTATTTTAAACTCTTTTCAATGACTTCCTGAATCATATGTAGGAAACGTACGTTGGTTCTCTCGTTATTCTTTTTTACTACTTGAAATGTTCTATGATGAATTGATTTGTTTAATTAAGAATTAGAAATGACAAGTAAAATTCTGTTGGAAACATGGTTCCGGCCTGGGGATTATGTTTAGTTGTAGTGCTGGACTGCTAGTTACAAATTTGATATTGAGCTGGGAGATCCTGTGCTTTGTGATCAAGAGCTTTTCTTGACATTTGCTTTCCTCTGTTGTATAAAGTTCGAACTCTGTTTTCTTTCTTGGATCTCTGGATACTTGAAGTCATGGTGTTTATCGAAATGAACTAATATGAATTTAGATTTAATTTAGTGTTACATAATTGATTCTTGTTAAGACGTTTGAGATAAAGTTATCAATAATAATAGTTTCTACCACGTGCAGTATCTTGATGAAAACAAAAAGTTGATATTGGCCATACTGGACAACCAAAATCTGGGGAAACTAGCTGAATGTGCTCAGTAAGTTACCTATCTCCGAACATTGTTGTGTGTGGCGTTGATTCATGAAATGATTCATCGCAAATTTGGTGCATTGATTTTATGTAATTGCCTGTGGTTCATCGCAAAGTAAGGTTGATGTATCTTGGAGCTTAGAAGCTGGAGGTGTCTATGGGTGCAGGTTTTCTTTTTATATGCGCCTGTAAATCTTGCTACTAAGTCTGCGTTTTATAGTTAGGGATCCAGATCTAATATGCATTTCTGATCTTAAAATCAGGTAGGCACTTCATAATTGATACAAGGTAGTATTTCTATGCAGTTGTGTGTTTTTATGGACTGTTCATGTGTTTCGCCTCCTAAAACTATTTGTCATATGTAGCTTTCAATTTTCCCAATAGGATGCATGTTACTTGAGCTTTATTCCATCCCTTATAGTGTTGTACTCGACTTAATGCGATTCATTTGATTAGGTACCAAGCTCAACTTCAGAAGAATTTGATGTATTTAGCTGCAATTGCTGATGCCCAGCCACAGGCACCCGCTATGCCTCCACAGGTTGGTTATTAACTAGGCCTCTGTGTTCTGCTAATTTCATGACGTGTTATAGTCTTTTTTCTACTTACCTATGTTATAATGGTCAGATGGCCCCACATCCTGCCATGCAGCAAGGGGGTTATTATATGCAGCACCCTCAGGCAGCTATGATGGCACAGCAATCAGGACTTTTCCCTCCAAAAGTCCCATTGCAGTTTGGCAACCCCCATCAGTTACAAGATCAGCAGCAGCAACTACACCAACAACACCAGCAAGCAATGCAAGGGCAAATGGGACTAAGACCTATTGGTGGAGCTAACAATGGCATGCATCACCCACATCATACTGAGGGTACCCTTGGAGGTGCTAGTGCTGGGGGCCCTGCTCGAAGTTCAGGGCAAACCGATGGTCGTGGAGGTGGCAAGCAGGACTCCGCTGATGTGGGAGGTACAGGTGCTGATGCTCAGGGGAACTCAGCTGGTGGTCGGGGCGGTGGTGGTGATGGGGAGGAAGCTAAGTAATGCAGCCTTGTGACTGCTTCCACATCCACGTGTGGCTGTTTATAGTAGGTGCTTCGTACGATAGAACTTCCATGCTTTGGTGATATTAGTAGATGGAGTAAAGAACCCAAAGTTGTTGATTGTTTTAGTTTAAGCAGAATATGTAGGTACGTTGTGTATGTGTTGTAAGAGTCTTGATATGCATTTACATTCCATGCTTGGCAGTAGAAGGGAGACGAGGTAGTGGTAGACTGGTCTGGACCAGTACTTTCACTTTTATCTCATTTTGTAAACAACTTGCGAAAGATCAGTAGGATTAGTTATAATATAATTCTACTGAAGCTTTTCAAGCAGTCGGTTCTGAAAGTTTTCCTACAATGTTGCATCTGTATCATGAAAACTGTTTACACAAACCCCACCAAAAGCCCCTAACTTAGCAGTCTGCACCTGCTCTAACCCCAAGCTTTTCTCTTCATTTCATAAATGCTTACAGGTTGCAGATCCAGCTATGGCAGAGAACCTTTCATGATAGAAAAAATGGAAGGTTAATGATATCAATTTCATAAATGCGAATGCCTTTGACCAAGCCTGCTAAACAGTTCAACATCAATGCCTCTGCCTCGTTAGCATAGGGGGAAGTAGAACAGACTTCAAATTGCATAATAAATGTTCAAAGGCACGCCTCATGAACTAATTCGATTCATACAACATGACACTCAAAGCCTCCCTGCGACCACAACACCCAATGTCGAAACCCAAGTCTGAATTGATGTGATGTGAGATTTCATAATTCACTCTCTTGGAGATCTATCGTCCTCGTTGGCACACCACTTGATATTAGACTCTGATACTATTTGTAACACCTTGGGTCTCTGGCTCTAATACCATTTATCGATATTGGACTTTGATACTATTTGTAACACCTTAAGTCCCTGGCTCTAATACCATTTATCGATATTAGACTCTGATACTATTTGTAACACCGTAAGTCCGTGGCTCTGATACCATTTATAATAGTTAAAATCTACTACCGAGAGATATTATCCACTTTGGTTCGTTAAATATAATCGCCAGCCTCACAAATTTAAAACGTGCATGTTACGAAGAGGTTTCTAGACCTTGATAAGATTTTTTTTTTTCGTTTCCTTCTTTAATCGACGTGTGGCCTCATGTATATGTGTAATTAATAAGACATCAATTACATGTCAAGGAGGAAAAAAATAAAATAAAATAAAATAAAAGAAGTTTTGTATTAGAATGGCGCCATTTAATAGTCGACCATTTAAATTTGCATCCCTCTCTCTCTCTCTTCCCGGCGTCTCCTGGTAGGGTTTCTCCTTCGCGAGAAGGGCAAAAAGAGGGGAAAACAATAATAAAAAAGGAATGGGAAAAAGGGTTTCAGTCCAGTGAAAAAGATAAACAACCATGTGAGAATCCTCTTCCATTTCGCTTTTCCGTTCTTCTTCATATTCTCTATCCCCTTCCCTCCCGAGAATAGTAATTTTCGACTTCTTCTATATTCTTGGTAATTTTTTTTTTGGGTAATCGAGGGGTTGGTGGCTCCTCTGCATTCTGTTCCAAAAGCTTCGTTTTGCAGAGACGAGTCATGAATTCGGGGGATCCATCAATGGCATTACTGGCTGCAAGTGCTGGAGATACTGTTAAACTTTTTGATGTCTCTGTTCATTCCAACGATCTGGGCGATCCGTGCACTTTGAGCTACACTCCTTCGCCGGGTTATCAAGTCAATTCAGTGAAGTGGAATCATACCAGTGAGTCGCTTAGATTCTTCCTCTCCCACTCGAATCACCCCGTATTGGATTTTTGTCTTTAGAGTTTCTTGGTGCGAGGACTTGGTCTAATTTCCAACATTTCCTGTATCCCAATCACTTTTCTTGAGTTATGCAGTTGCGTTTTTATAGAAATGGAAGTTTTGTTTTTTGTTTTCGTATGAATTGAAGTTTTTAGGACCTAAGTGAGTTGTGGACCGTTGCTTTTGTTAGCATTTTAGATTTTGATTTTTATATATTTTAATATTTTAGCATCGAGATGGAGGTTCTGTTTGCTCTCGATTCAACTGGGTTTTAATTTTTGTAGATTTGGTTGTGGCCAGTGCCGGCGACGATAAAAAGATCTCCTTGTGGCGTAAGAATGGTCAGAGCATGGGGACCATTCCAATTGCTGGTAATGATAGTGGAGATAACATAGAGGTCAGTTGCTTGTTCAATTCAGTAATACCTTATTTCGCTTCCTTTCTTTTTTATTTGGATATTTGGAGCTCAAGGAAAACGGTTTAATAATTTGTTTCTGAACTTAACACCCGTTAATGCTGTACAAATTTGTTTTATTTTCCAATGATGTATGGCGAGTGATGTTTAATTGTTTACTTTCTGCATGGATAAACTTTTCTACAGGAATCTATATTTTCTATAAGTTTCAGCAGCAAGGTATCCAGGTACATGTGTACTGGAGGAAGTGGTCATATTGTTAGAATATGGGATTTGCAGAGAAAACGATGTATAAAATGGTTGAGAGGACACACCAATACTATAACAGGTGCTATGTACAATTGCAAAGATGAGCACCTTGCTTCAATCAGTCTTAGTGGGGATCTTATACTTCACAATCTTGCATCTGGTGCAAGGGCTACTGAACTTAAAGACCCTAATGAACAGGTTGTCGAAGTTTATTGCATCCTGGTTAATATTTAAGATTTATAGAGTTTGATGATCTGATTTTCCAATTAATTGTTTTTTCTGATGGCTCTTAAGACCAGGTATTGAGGGTGCTTGACTATTCTCGTATTAGCAGACACCTTTTGGTGACTGCAGGTGATGATGGAACTGTACATCTATGGGATACAACTGGACGCAACCCTAAGGTTTGGCTCGACTATCTTGTTGTAGCAATAGCATGGCTTGTTACTTACCCTTAAAGTGTAAAAAAATTGATTTGGAGGACATTTCATGTTTTAAGACATTTGAACTGCCTTAGTTTCCGCTGTAAGCCTTCAATAGTGATGGATATTTTCCATTTGATTTTTGGGTTCTATTGCTATCAGTTGGGAATTTTTTCCTGGAGATCTTTAAATCTACGTGTTCAACTCCTGAATAGATCAGGGGGACAAAAATGAAATTTCCATTGCCTTGATTTTTTTTGTTTTTTTTTTTGGGTGTGGCAAGACTATTTGTCATTTAAATTACCAGATTGTCGCCGACGTTTGTTAATGGATAACTACTCAGAATTTTGAAATCTTCCATTCAGTACTTGGAAGTATGAATGACCTTTTAAAACCATCTACTTGCCTTCTGGTACTAAATAGAAATTGTGTTTAAATGTTCCAACCATAATCCATGGCCTTAATTTAATGTGGCCCGCCTCACTTTATTTCACTATTTTTCGGTGTTGACATGTTATGATATGGACTTAATATTTCATTCTGTTCTTTATGTTTCACAGTAGCCTTTATTTCATAAGTTATGTTGGAATAATGGAGTTGCATATTTCTGCTTTTGTTTAGGTTTCTTGGCAGAAACAACATTCTGCACCAACTGCTGGTATTGGCTTCTCACCATCTAATGATAAGGTCTCATTCGTATTCATGATTGATCAGTGATACCTTGCTCAAGTATATTTTAGGATTTTATTGATAAGTGGAAGCAAAAAACTTCTTAGGGTTAGAGGTTTGTCCATACGAGTAAAATCATTCAAATTATTTCTTTTTATTACAGACTCTTGCTAGTGTTGGAATGGATAAGAAGTTGTACACTTACGACTCAGGATCAAGGAGACCATCTTCTTTCATTGCTTATGAGGCACCCTTCTCATCAATGGCTTTCAGGGATGATGGTTTGATACTTGCTGCTGGAACAAGCAATGGACGTGTGGTTTTCTATGATGTCCGTGGGAAACCAGAGCCTTACATTGTTCTTCGTGCTTTTAGTAGTTCAGAGGTATTCCTTCAGTGTTTTACAGAATTCTTGTCTGCTCCCAAAGTTGGTGCCTCTCTGCTGGATTTTTCTCTACTCTTATGCTACATTGCGGGCTGTAGGTTCATGAATCTTAAATTTTGTTCATCAATTTCATTTTTTTTTTTTTTTTCCCATCATTGGACTTTTTTTTCTTTCTTTCTTTTTATCTGTGCAACACGTATGATGTTAGGCGAAATTGGAAATAGCCGTTGAAATGATTTTCGTTTGTTCGTTAGCTAATTAAGTTCAAACCACTCTAGCCCAATCTCATTATCACTATTATTTGTAAGCAGTATTGATTGCATGCTAGGTTTACTAATTATTTGCAGTACAATCCAGGCAGTTACAAGTTTATCATGGCAGAGGTTAAAACCTGTAATTGTAAATGAAGGCAACTGCACTGCTGAGGTTGCTCTTTTGGGAGGTGCCATTGAAGACTCAATTCTCATGCCTGACCCACTTCCTTCTGTGACTACATCAACCATTCCTATGTCTACTACAATATCCAGTTCTTGGAATCCTGGCCGTTCAGGTCCAACCTTTGAAGCTTCACTGGCCGAAACTTCCAGCACATTCACAACGGCAGAGGAAACACCACATCGTAGCCATTTGTGGCCATTGGGAAGCTTAGCCAGATTACATGCTCCTCGCTCCAGTTACAACTTCAAGGATGATATGGAGGTTTTTTCTCCTCTTGTGGATGTTCAGCCAATCACACCGTCACTAGATAAGCTGTGGGATGATCAAAATGGACTGAAGAAGGACCATCCATTTGACAAGAAACCTCTATCTATGTTGTTTCCTTCATCAAATAGGAGGTTCTCTTCTATTGAGGATGGGGCAGGTGATCATCCAATATTTCATTGGAAATCTTCATCATCCAAACAGGTGTTGCTATTCTCTTAGCTGCATGTTGTTTTTCATATCTAAGAAAAGAAAGATCTTTCTATGCAAGATGCACTTGTGCTGTGCCATAATAAATGCCCATTGTGCTTGGTCATACTCAGAATCCTAGATCACCTTTCAGCAATCTCTGTTGCTTTATAGCTCGGAGATATGGAGGCTAGACATTCATAGTGCTGATTGTTAAGATACAACCTTAGGTTCTGGTATCATATTTACTCACGAAGTGGTAGAAATTATGTTATATAGATTTCTTGATCACACATTCATCTCTATGGTGGTAGACCAAATGCTCAAGACAAAATTAACAGAAGAGCTACATGTTATAATAGATTTAAACCAATTGATAATTGTTTCCTAAGAAGCAAGGATACTTTAGTTCGGGTAATGTGCCCTTGATCAACATGTATTAGCCACTCCAACCCTTTTTAACACGATAACACCATTTAATGTTGTGTTAAAAACTAGTTGTATAATGTGAATATGATGATACTTGTTAGCCGCATATTGAGAAGTACGTGTTTATTCTTTACATATGAGGTTAATGATTTCAGGCTCTTTTGATTGAACAAATAAATTCTGGCGAGAGATTTCCTTTGGGGTCAGTTGCACAGCATGAGAAATGGTGATTTTAACCACTAATACTTGATTTTTTGGTAGGATGATTCTCGGTCTTCTTCAGGACAGTTGGGCTCTTCTCCTACTTCTACCCTAAATTCTAAGAGTGAAGACTCATCTATTACTCCTCCAGAAGCTTGGGGTGGTGAGAAACTTTCTGATAAATTTGCCCAACTGAGGCAGCCAATGACTTTGCCGTCACGTTTTGGGATGTTGGCTTCAAGCTCAAGCTCAAGTAGTCAGACATCAAGTTCATTGATTTCTGGATTACAAGATCCGTCCTCATCAGTTAGCCAAAGCAGCATCACTTCCTTGACTAATTTGAATTTCAGCTACCCAAATTTGCGCACAAAGGATGCAACCTCGCAGGAGGTTTCACTGTCAATTCCTGAACACTTATCTACTACTGCTGCATCTTTGTCTCTTGGTACCAGAGGAACCGTTGGACTGAGCAACCCAGATTCACCTTGGAACACAACTATGACCCTGCCTCGTAGATTTTCTACATATGCAGAGAGGTTAAGCACTACTTCATCTTTCAGTGACGGCCTTCCAGTGGGCTCACCGAAAACAAAGAAAATGGGTTCAGAGACTAGGGAAGAGGTTTTGAATAACTTATCTAAATTTGATACATTATCTGTCGCGGAGTCGGGAATTCTTCCAGCAATGAACGTATGAATACTCTTCCGAATTAAATGTTTTTATATGTTGTGTTTGACTTGGACTTCTTATTCTATGCACTAGTTCCAGTGCTTTTTAATCATTCTTGCATGAAGTGTTGTCTACTTGAAATGGAAAATGTTGGTCCCTGATGTTACTATTTGTGGCAGGGAGGATCGTTGCAACCACAAAAGGCATTGCAGCCAGATGGTCAACAAGGAAATTCGTTTACACTTCAGCTTTTTCAACGGACTTTGGAAGAAACTCTCGACTCCTTTCAGAGATCCATACATGACGACATGAGGAACCTTCATATAGAGATTCTGAGACAATTTCATATGCAGGAGGTACTTTATTCATGTACCACCATACCAGACACAGGGTTTTCCTTTTGATAGTGTTTTGTCTCATGTATTTCATATCCTGAAATCTTTGCACAGATAGAAATGTCAAGTGTGACGAGTTCCATTTTGGAAAATCAAGCTGAGCTGATAAAAGAGGTGAAGTCTCTAAGGAAAGAAAACCAGCAGCTTCGAGATTTGCTTGGATCCTAGGAGTTTTACATGTTTACAGTTGGGATTTGTCTTTGTTTCAGCGTGCATTTGGCCATTTTGTTGCTCTCCGCGCAGGTGAATGTTTTTTTTTTCTTTTTGTTGCTTTTTTTGAACGTGTACAGAAATATGATTTTCAGCTGAGCCAAAGGAATGTTGTATCTCTTAGCCTTATATAATCACTAAGTGTATTCATTTAGCAGAGATAATAGATGCATTTCTGTGAGGTTTTTGGGTGCAGTTCCAAGTTTCCTTTTTAGCATCCCCGTCCAGTCCAGTCCACTGAAATATGAAATATGTCATCTTAACTGCTGAGTTGTAGGCTTCTTTTGATATCATCTTGTTGAAGAAGTTCACAGTTTTACTGACAATATTTGGAGTTCCACCCTTGTTCGCAAGGATTTTTGGTTTGATTTCTGAATAACATCAGAATTTCATTTCGAAGTGGACCATGGATGTGGACTTGGTTAGTGTATGGAGTAGATTTGAACCTCCGTCTTGAAGAGAAAAAATGCATGCCAATTGCTAAGCTAAGATCATAATCTCAGATTTCTCATAGCTAACTCATAAATCATTTTCTCTAAAGATGGCTCGCCCAAAGGGAGGATGAAAACAGATCTTCAGCACTTAATATAAACGGTATATAAGCTTTTGACATTTATTACTTTATTGGTTTGTAAATGAGAAGGGAGAAACTCAGAGGAAGTGAGTAACAAAAATACTTTTCCAATGGAAAAGAGCACATGCTATTTTCATTATTATCTAAAATAAAAATACAATATAAACATCAAGCAATAGTTATTCTTTAAAATTAACATTTCCATATGACATCATCAACGTGTCTGGATGGTGTAGTTGGTTATCACGCTAGTCTCACACACTAGAGGTCCCCGGTTCGAACCCGGGCTCAGACATATCACCTCCCTAATTTTATTTTAGAACGCACAATTCATTTAAGGTATCTTAATTAGCCTGGTGAATTTGAACGACTTGTCTGGGTGGTGTAGTTGGTTATCACATTAGTCTCACACACTAAAGGTCCCCGGTTCGAACCCGGGCTCAGACAATTTTCACCCGCCTCAACCTTTTTTGTATTGCAGTTTCATTTTCCCAAAGAGGGTCATTATAACGCCGGGCCCATTTCCAGCCCATTTGTTCCAGAACGTGTGTAAAGGGTTCTCAAACGTGCACCCGATCGGCGGCAAAAGATGGCACGTGGTTTATGCACGATCCACTGTGCAAAGTCCATCTTCAACGTCGCACAGGTGCCGTCACTGTCCTCTGTGACCGTGTCTCCGTGAGTTGTCCTTCCAAGCGAAGAAACGACCAACATTAGGGCTCAAAGCCAGAGGATTCCATCTTAGTCAATCTCCCGTCGATTCGTACCTTCAATGAATTTCTGAGGCCACCTAACAGTTTCACTTTTCCTCTTCCTTTCGGTATTTTGCCGTTTTCTTCTTTTGGTGCTTGATTGCTTTCTCCATGGACGAGACTTGCATAAATCTCCCCACTAGCCATTTGCTTGGCTCAGTCCCTGTACGCACTTTCCAGGCGCCTTTGCTTGCTTCTTTTATTTTATCTACATCTCAAGTTGACCTTTGATTGATGCTATTTGTATTAGGAAGTATTGAATGTCTGGGTCATTCTTCGCGATGATTGATCTGCTTCGCAATGTGATCGGTTGCGATTTTTTCATTACATTTTTTTTGTTTACTTGCATTTTAATATAATGAATAAGCTGGAAAGTGCTTGGTTTGGTTGCTTCCCGCGTGTATGTTATGCTGCTTTCAGAATTCATCGCAAGTAAAAGGAAAATGGAAGACTATTCGTTTGGGGCCACCGAGGTTTTTCTTTGCTTATTAGTATGGAGTCTTATCAGGAAATTATTGTTAACTTTGATATTTTCCGCCGTTGGTAGCACCTAAATAATGAACATTCATGAATAGTTATTGAATATGAGCGCAGTATCTATTTTATTTAGTAGGGAAATATGTTTGCTACTTCCTGTTGCGTCTTCTGAATGATGCCTCTTGCAATATATCTGGCAGTTGGCGTGTTTGTTTGTAGTGGCTATGTTCAACCGCCATCTAGTTTTTCTGGGCTGGATTTTTGAAGAGCTTGAATAAATATAGAACTGGCTAGATTTTGTTCCTCCTGGATTTAGAAGGTTAAAAATGCGTTTTGGTGAGAAGGGAGATTCAATGTTACCCCTATTTTATGCTTTATAATCAATGATAGCACTCCTCTTATACCAAGTAATGCAAGTTTTAGCTGCGGTTCCTAATATGCTTCTGTTTTTTTGTATGTTGGATTATTTGTAATTATTTTTTGGTTGCACCTTGAATCTATGTGTGTTTAAATGTTATCATGTTCTGTTTGGAGTTTGAAATTTATGACTTTCTTTATCTCTGTCTTCGTTTTCAAAGCTCCTTTGTCTACATATTTTTATGTATCCTTTTTTTGGTGGATCAATAGGCTGTAATCAATGAAGAGAAAGACGGCACAGACCATAAAAGTAAGAACAGATTCCAGTACCTTCTTCTTAGTAATCTTATTTCACTTTCTGTTTCATTAATAAGTCGCATTCAAAAAATTGATCTATTTCACTGTTTAATTTCACATAATTATCTCTGAGGAATAACTTCTTAATTATATGCAGCACCAGAAGCAAGTATGCAGACATTCCCTCCAACTAATGGAAGGGACAGAGGGAGAGGTTATCAAACTCTTGAAAGTCCAAATGGTAATGCTTGTCATGTACTCCCAATTGGCTATACGATAGTGTTATGATAGGAGTGCAATTAGTGAAAATAATGATTAGAGATCATTCGTTCTGATTTTCCATTGCTTCTCTCAACTAGGGTTTTTATATTTATTTCTATAGATCTTCTAACTATTTAATGTGACATTTTTTCCAACGTACATGTGGTTCTTTGTTTGATCTAATTAATTTATTTCCCCTTCTAGCTAGTTTTGGACATACTGAAAGCAAAACATTAACTTATATGGGATTGAGATGTGTTTTTCGTTGTTTCAACTTATTAATCATTGCCTTTGTGTCTGAGATTTTCCTTTCTTGTTATCTTTTGATTATCGAGTGAAAATGTTGTATATCATGACTACTAGATGTTTTGACATTTATTTATTACTGCAGTACAAGGCTCTTGGACCTAATCCAAAGGTTTTTGTAAAATGCTTGGATATTGAAGGTGGAAGCCACCTTTTAGTTTCAAACCCCCCTTAGACACAGAAAAGATAGCAGGTTTTTGGATATTAGAAAGAAAACCTGTTCCAAAAAAAATAAACTGCGACGTGATAAGGCTCCTGAAGATCCAATCTATATCAAACATGCATTTTTATACGGGGTTGATTCTTTTCTTTTGGTGAACCATACAATTGACAACATTTATTTATGTGCAGATCCTCAGCCGCAACCATCAAGTAACTGGAAGGGAATGTTTAGTGTATCATCTTACACTCAATATTTCAATGTGGATACAGACACTGTCATGAGTAGATTGATTAGTTCCTTGTATCCCATTGGTGGAGATTTTTCTAGCAAGATCGATGCAAACCCTGATCTGTAAGTTTTTTTTTTTTTTTCCTCTCTTAACCTTAATAATTTCTCTGTTTCTCTGATGACTATGGGATTATCTGTGAGATTTTGAACGCCTACCTTTTGGTGTCTTTTTTCTTTTTCAAATTTATGCGCCTCTATCTGTTCATTCAAGAATCTATATGGATATCTTGTTTTTGAAACTAAATGGATTATCAAACTCCTTTTTATTGAATTTTGCTATGACTTAGATATGGGCTTGTGTGGGTCACCACTACATTGGTCTTTGTCCTTGCGGCATTTGGAAACTGCGCGACCTTCCTCATGCAAAAACAAAGTGATCACGGAGCTGCATGGAGCTTTGATGTCAGCTATGTGAATGTGGCGGCAGGGTCTGTTTATGGTTATGCGATTGTGGTTCCCACGGCATTTTACTTTTCGCTTCAGTACTTGGGGTCAAATTCTAACCTCATAAGATTTTGGTGCTTGTGGGGATACTCTCTGTTCATTTTTATTCTGGCATCTGTAAGCTTCTGGAATCTTCACTGCAGTTCTGTTCCCTTTTATCCATTCAACATAATTTCATACATGACTCTGCAGAATTTGAATTTTTTTTATATATTTTTATTTTGGTACTTAAGTTTCTTTTTTACTTCATTTATTTTCATATATTTTGAATTTCTGGTTCATAGCTTAGTAGATATTGTAAGGAGCATGCAAGAAGAAAGCAATGACTACTAAAGAATACTGTTGCCTTAGACTAGACGTTTGCATTTTCAGAGGACTTGCATGAGTTTTATTAGTGCAACGATCCATTTTATGGGCAATATAACTGCATGGTTCTTACATCTCTTTTCTTTTCCAGTTTCTGTTGCTCATCCCGGTTGAATTTCTGCGATGGTTCATCATACTCCTTTCTGGTGCTGCCTCAGCAAGTTTTGTTACTTTGAACTTGAGGTCCTATATCGATGGAAACGATCTTTCGGTTCTGATAGTTGCTGCATTTTTCTTGCAAATGGCCTTGGCAATCTTCATCAAAGTGTGGTTCTTTCCTTGAGCAGACTCTCTCAGTTTGTTGCTGTCATCAGACCATCTATCTTTGCTTTGTTTCTGAGTGCTGACCTCTTAACTAAGGAACGATTCCCTCTTGATTGGTGTTGGTAGTTCTTTGCCTCTTAACTTGTGTGATGAATCACAGAAGCGGTCAACAGAAAACGACGTCGACGGTCATAGTTTTTGTGATTGGAAGTGATTGTTTTATCATAACAACAATCTCTAACATGCTCACGGTATTGTTTGCAGAGTGCGCAGATGGGCTTCCCTCTTTATGAATATTGTTTGAGGAGAGCGGAATCTGTTTGTCTTTCTTTGATTATAAATTTTCATCTTAGTATTCCACTCAAACACAGACGTCATTGTAAATAGACGTGGGAGAATGTACTTGTGATCACTGATGTAATGTGATTGATTGAATTTAAATACAAGTAGCAAAAATATGCCTCTATCTCAAGACTGGTTTTACGCCAATCCATCAACAGTCATTTACTGACGGCAGATATCAAACCGTTGGGGCAAGATTTCCATAGATGAGCGCAGGCAGCTGCGTGGGAGCTGTGGATTGGGCAGATTTCTGTTAACCAGCACCTGACAAAAACAGGTTAAAAAAATCACTAGAAAATGTTTTAAAAATAAAATATCTTGAGATGGATCTAAAAGATTATGCTCCACTCCATGAGCTAATTAATTCTTTATTCTTGACCTTTATGAGCCAGAGGCAGAGGCAGAGCCCAAGCAGCAGCAGCCTGGATCTGGGGGCTTAACCCTTCGGCTTTGGGACCAGCCATTGAATCTTACGTCTTCTAATTTAACACTCCTTTTCTCTTTATTTATTAATTTTAGTTTTGGATTGCGACTCTCCAGCCATGTTCAGAGCCTTGTTGTCGCCGTTTTGAAGTTCAATGAGGAGTCGCCAAATGTCCGCCAGTCTTCAGTGAAAGTTGTAATTTTTTTCGTCTTCTCAAAAACTGTGCGTAAAAAAATTGGATGGTGACAAGTCTTTGGGAGGCCCTACGCAATCCTGATTCTGTGACGAAGAAACATGCAGCCAATAAAGAACAATATGAGTGTGGAATTGCATTGGTCACTGGAAAACGGTTCGAATATAATCCGAGAATCGAGTAAAAACCCCGGTTCCGATTCCGCACTTCCGCCTACCATTTCCATTCTATATATATATAACTGCTCCCGCTCAGATATATTGGTATTTCCAACGAAACCCTGCCGAGTTGTTTTGTGTCTCGGTCGAGTTGACTCATTACTCTGTTCTTATGGACTCCATGGATCGCTCTCGAGCTTTCCTTCGGGATGTTAAGCGCCTTGTTGTCAAGGTATCTCTAAGTTAAACCTTCAGTTTTTTATCTTCCTTTATCCACATTTTAATATTTCCAGGTGTTCTTCTTTTCTATTGGTTTAATTTAGCGCGTGGCAGTTCTGTTTGTATTTGGAACTGGAATTTTTATGGATGGACGTTTTCATTGTTCTTCTTAGAATTTGTAGTTCCAGGTTTCAATTGGATGGAGAAAGCCGACGCCTTAGTTTTTAATTCTGATGTCTTTTGTATCATACATTATTATTCGATTTGGATGGATGGATGGATTACTAAATGTTTACGACTGAATGCCCATTTCTGTGCATTTTTGCCGATTCGATTCGCTTTCTGTAGAATTTCTCAATTCTTCCTACCGGAAGAGAAACCGTTGATAATTTAATTGACTTACCCGCCATTGGATGTCGTGTTTTTGCCATTGAAGGTTGGGACGGCGGTGGTAACGCGAAGTGATGGAAGATTAGCCTTAGGCAGACTAGGAGCATTGTGCGAGCAGGTATTTACCAGGCATTCATAAATCAAGTCTTCTACAAGTTTATAGTGGTTGGAGACTTTTGTTTTTTCCTTTCCTTATCAGCTTCTGGTTGGAGTCGCTTAGTTTTTTTTTTTTTTTTTTTTTTTTCAATATTGAGATTTCGATCTGAAATGCAGATCAAGGAATTGAACTCACAAGAATTTGAGGTTATTTTGGTTTCATCTGGTGCTGTTGGTATTGGTCGTCAAAGGCTTCGATATAGGCAGCTTGTTAATAGCAGGTAATTTTTTGCCAGATGCGTTGCAACTAATTGATTAGGGGGACAGTGAAATTTTACGGAGTCCTGAAATCAATGAAAGTTTTGATCACTTTTGCTTGGGAAAAAAAAAGGATATTCTATGATTGTACTATGAATAATGTAGTTTTGCTGACCTTCAAAAACCACAAGTTGATCTTGATGGTAAGGCGTGCGCAGCTGTTGGTCAAAACAGTCTTATGGCTCTCTATGACACATTATTTAGTCAGGTGACCGCTCTTAATTTATTTTTTATTTTTAATTTTTAACACAAGAATTGCTTCTAGCTCATTAACTTATTTGTTTACCTCTGGCAGATTGCTATTGGGTTGCTACTGTGTTATCTCAGTTGCAATCCTTTCTTTTTTTCTTCTTTTTTCACCCCTTACCGGTCATTATTTCCTAGACCCTTATATGACATGTGCTTTCGTTATTACTTGACAATTTTAAGGCTTGTCAATAAATGCACTCGTTTGACTTAATTCTTTTTAATGTTTTTGCAGCTGGATGTTACATCTGCTCAGCTTCTGGTTACGGATAATGATTTTAGGGATAAAGGTTTTAGAAGTCAACTTAGTGATACAGTGAAATCATTACTTTCTCTTAAGGTTATTCCTATCTTCAATGAGAATGATGCAGTCAGCACCAGGAAAGCTCCGTATGAGGTTTGATTCTTGCTCTTTAGCCATTCTTTTGATCTGCTTTGGGAATGGTAGTTTTGATAGTAGTTTCTTTGTGATTGTGAAAAGTAATTGAAAGCCTCTTTATTAATTCAAACAAAATGGATTTATTTATTTTCTTTCCGATATCTTTTTCACTTTTTTTTTTTTTTTTTTTTTTTGACAACTCTTCTCAGGATTCTTCTGGTATATTCTGGGACAATGACAGTTTGGCAGCACTTTTAGCTTTGGAGCTAAAAGCTGATCTCCTTGTTTTGTTAAGCGATGTAGACGGTCTATATAGTGGGCCTCCAAGTGACCCTCAGTCAAAGTTAATCCACACATATGTTAAGGAACGCCATCAAGGTGAAATTACCTTTGGGGACAAGTCTAGAGTGGGAAGAGGTGGTATGACTGCTAAAGTTAAAGCTGCTACTGGTGCTGCATATGCTGGCATTCCTGTTATTATCACTAGGTATGCTTCATTTATGAGTGCCTCAGGAATCTCCCTCCCTTTTCTCTGTGTCTAATATAATCATTCCACAAATATTGTGCACTATACTATCCAATTAGAGGGGGAACTGCTAGATTTAACCCATCCCATGTTTTCCATTTCATACTTGCAAGATAGTGGCAGGTTATCTCAGAGTGCGGTCGACAAAAATAAAAAATGTTATTTCATATGCCCTTGTAAAAAGGGATGAAATGCTTCCTAGTTTACAAAATCGTGTTTCTTTGAAACCGAATGTAGCCTGGGATGAATAGGTTTTCCATTCAGATTTCTTTTTCTTTTTTTTAATATGAATATTGATTCAATTTGAAACGGTTTTTTCCATAATCATTTGAAGCGGATACGCTCCTGCAAATATCCTCAAGGTCCTCAAAGGTGATCGCATCGGTACCCTCTTCCATCAAGATGCTCATTTGTGGGAGCCCCAAAAGGATGTTGGTGCTCGTGATATGGCTGTTGCAGCAAGAGAAAGTTCAAGAAGGCTGCAGGTAATTGCCCATTGCTTTGTATGCCAAGTTAGCATGATTTTTTATACGTAGTTTATATTCCTTAGGCAATCTCTTCTCAAGAGAGAAGAAAAATTTTGCTGGATATAGCTGATGCCCTTGAAGCCAATGAAAAACTGATCAGTGCTGAAAATGAAGCTGATGTTGCTGAAGCTCAACAGACTGGATATGAAAAAGCCCTAGTATCACGACTGGCACTGAAACCTGGAAAGGCAAGACATCATTGCATGATTTTCTTTAAGAACAATTTCCATAGCACTGATTACACATCTACTCAATTATTTACATTAGATACTGCCTTGTGAAGTCTCAAAGCCTGTCTTTTCTTGGTGAATAGTGATACTAATTGTATATGTGAACAGATATCCAGTCTTGCCAACTCCATCCGTACACTTGCAAACATGGAAGATCCAATTGGTCATGTTTTGAAGAAGACTGAGGTAACAAATTATGGACTTTTGTGTAATTGTGATTCAAAGTAGTGGAAAATATTCTTTTGACTCTAGTTAGATGGTTGATAAGTAGTACCGTTTCAATAATTCAGAATGCCTGAATTTTTTGCTGGCATTCAATTTTTCCCCAACTTGAGATGGTGGTTGTTGCATTCAGGTTTCAGATGGACTTTTTCTTGAAAAAACATCGTCTCCGTTGGGTGTTCTATTGATTGTGTTTGAGTCTCGTCCAGATGCTCTGGTACAGGTTAGTATAAATTCCTTGTGGAGAATCTTAGAGTTGTCTCCATTGAGTGTTCACAATGCTGAATTTTTCCTTTAAAATGAACCCTTGGGTTTGTGATTTATATAGATAGCATCATTAGCAATTCGGAGCGGAAATGGCCTTCTCTTAAAAGGGGGAAAGGAAGCAAGGCGATCAAATGCAATATTGCACAAGGTATCATATTTCCTTCATGATCAAATTAAAATGGCATTGGCACATCAGTTCACTTTTCTTTTTGCTATGTATAGGTTATCACGGAAGCCATTCCAGATAGTGTTGGCGGGACCATAATCGGACTTGTAACTTCAAGGGAGGAAATACCCGATCTACTAAAGGTGCATTTGGTTGAATACCCTTCTTGAATTGTTCGTTTTCGTGACCTTGAGTTATACTCGTGGTCATAGGGTAAATAGAGGGTAAAAGACTTTTGAGGACGTACCTGATATGTCATATCTTACAAGTTTTTCCTAGTTTAGTCCTGATAATTTTCTTTCTATTTCATAATTTCGTTTGTTTTTCCATTGTCTTATCATTTATTATTGTAAAGCATTGACTTTAAATTTTTTGTGGATCGTTATTGAAAAATTGTGAAAAATTAACAAGTCCATATGATGAGAAGAATTAAAAATAAATATACTAATTTTGTTAAGTAAAAATCCAGAAAGTGAAGATGAGGTAATTGAAAAAAAATTGTTGCTTCCCCATTGGAATGATAATAATATGTGATAATAGTATACTTCAGTTCAGTAGAAGGAAGCAATATACTTCAGTTAAAGTGATTAATTGTCGATAATGGCAGTTGGATGACGTTATTGATTTGGTGATCCCAAGAGGTAGCAACAAACTGGTTTCTCAAATTAAGAATTCCACCAAAATTCCTGTTCTTGGTCACGCTGGTAATGTGGATTGGATCGACCATTCTAATACAATATATTTCTTTTACGTTCTTTTTTATTTTCATGAAACAAGACATGGTCGTAAAAACATGTGCTCTTTTCATGCCACAGATGGAATCTGCCATGTTTATGTTGACAAGTCTGCTGATTTGGAAATGGCAAAGAGAATTGTACTGGATGCAAAAATAGATTATCCAGCAGCCTGTAATGCAATGGTATATCATTCATCAATTAACTTTACTTTAGTTCATCTCCACTTAATGGGGTGATTATCTTGTACCTACGTTTTTTTCTTCTTATTCCTGATTTGGATTCTGTTTTGATTCTCTTATTTCTTTAATGCAGGAAACACTTCTTGTTCACCAGGACTTGGTCCACACGGGTGGGCTGAATGAGCTTGTTGTAAATCTCCGCATTGAAGGTCAGACTTGCCTCCTTCATCAGAATGCATGTATTAGACTTGCCTCCTTGCGCAATTTCTGCAGTGCAGACTTTTTTATGCGTTTGGTCGCTAAATCCATCATAGTGGTGGTGTTAAATTTATTAGTGCACAATCCTAACCAACACTTCTTTATCCTTTAAAGAACAAGAGGAAAACGAGTATTAGTGATGAAAATAGATGGCATAAGTTCAACATCTACAGATCAATTTTACCTTCGATACTCTAGGAATACTTGACATCTATAAATTAAAAAAGTAGTTAATTGTCTCTTTCCAGGTGTTATTTTGAATGGTGGACCAAGGTCGAGCTCCCTGTTGAATATTCCTGAGGCAGGGACGTTTCATCATGAATACAATTCATTGGCATGTACTCTTGAAATTGTGGACGATGTCTTTGCTGCTATTTATCATATACATCAACATGGAAGGTATGCTAATATTTTTCTTGATGAAAGAGCATTTCAAATTGCTAATTATCTTTGTTCATATATGTTTCAAGGCGTGCATGCATTTTGTGTCTATTGATCAATACTTCTGTTGCTCATAAAAAATGTTTTTTTTTCTCCTGTAAACTGGCAGTGGACACACTGATTGTATTGTTACGGAAGATCATGAAGTTGCTGAAGTTTTCTTACGTCAAGTTGACAGGTAAGTGTTTCTGTTAACCTTATTTAGCATTCTTCCAGCTTCATCCATGCATTTATGACCTTTTCGTTTTATTAGAACTCGTGCGTGAGAGACAGATTGTATTGAATAATGGTGCCTTCACCTGGATAGCCTATTTATGCTGTTTGCTATGTTCTAATGGCAGTGCTGCTGTCTTCCATAACGCGAGCACAAGATTTAGTGATGGGGCTCGATTTGGTCTAGGTGCTGAGGTGCGAAATGCTCCTATAATTGTCAGATAGCAATACGATTAAGTTTGTTGCTTTCTTTTTACACATCCATTGTTTGTAACAGGTTGGAATTAGCACAAGTCGGATCCATGCCCGGGGTCCAGTAGGAGTTGAAGGACTGTTAACGACCAGATGGTATGAACAAATCATAATCTTCTGAGTAATTCAATATTGTCCACATACAATACTTCCATTTCCGCACATGACATGTCAATATCTAGGCAAGTTAATATCAGCATTGTACTTAAATTTGCAGGATTCTCAGGGGAAGTGGGCAAACCGTGGATGGAGATAAAGGGGTTGTTTACACCCACAGGGACGTGAAGATTGAGTCTCAACTCGTGAATTGATTTCAGCCCAACAATTTGCGCTGGCTATTTATGTATAAAAATAAGTGTTAGTAGCTTCTCTCTTCGAGTTTCAGTAGCTTCTCTCTTCGATTTCAGCCCAACAATTATTAGAGTTCCAGAAGCGGCTAGTTTTTTTTCTATAATATTGGCCATTTCTGTTTAGTAGCTTAGGAGGACCCTTCTTCCAGGACTGGAAATCCAGAGTTTAGTTGTAGCGTATAGGTCTTATATGTTGATGAAGTAATGACCATTTGAACAGATCAGGTGCATTACTCTCGGAATTGTTTTGTTGTTTACTGTTTGACGATTGAAGTGTTGACTTGCCATCTGAAAATAACAGAAACCACCATGTAGGCTTGTCAGTGTTTAAGCAGCAGGAGCAGGAGCAGGGGATTTGTAGTATGAAAAATGATTGACTACTATCGTTATGGTCCTTATACTAGTATTGTTTTGTGTCATTCTTCTCATTATATCTTCGAATTATTCCCTTATTATTGGCATTTAGTTAATTTTTACCACACTTGAAAAGAAAAAATCATTTGGTAATGAACCATTTGAGTTCCTGGTTTAGAGTCATTTACTCACATTAATCAATAATATTGAGATTTTTTTGAAGAGAGTATACACAATACAGATAATGAAGTTCAGGAATTTCTGACCAACTTAACTACAATAAACCTCCACCCAAACGGGGAAGTTTAGAATGTAGAACAAGTCTTAAATTCCAAAATTATCAAGGAGTGATGAATGACGATTATCAAGAAGCTGAAGCAAATAATCTTACTTCGGAAAAAGAAACAGAAAATTTAATGATGAATTATTCCCATATATACACAAAAATATTACTCTGTAGAACCATGACAAGAAACGCCCTTGGTAAAGGAGATGAACCTTCGCTCACAGAACTTGAAGAAGCCGACAGTGACATTATGCTTCAAGAAATGCCCATGAAGAGGAAGTAAAAGAACTGATAAAACTCACTCACGACAACTTTACGTTACAGCTCTCAAAAAGGAATTCCACTAAGTTGCAAGTACACACCTTTACATGACTATTTCAGGCTTCAAAATGCTGGATTTGATTTCTTTGTGCGGCAGCACTACCCCACCATTACTGTAAACTTCATCGCCCACATGAACGTCTTCTCCTAGTATTGTCATATTCTCTACACGCGCCCATTGTCCGACGGTAGAATGCCAGCCTATGATACTGCTTGATATGCAAGCGTGCTTCTTGATTCGCGTGCCACGCATTACAGTACATCGAGATAGCCGAACTCCTGACTCAACAACACAACCAGGACCAATGGCAACATCCGGACCAATCAGACATCCTTCGCCAATCTTTGCAGTCGCATCCACAAGAACATTCCCTACAATATGAGACCCAACGGCTAACATTGATGGAGAGTTCTTCCTCAAGGAGCTTAGATAGAGTCGTAGTCCTGTAATATAATCTTTTGGCTGTCCAATGTCCATCCAAAACCCTGGCAGTACCATTGCATAAAGCTTTTGCTCCGCAGCAATTTTAGGGAACACTTCTTTCTCAATTGATGTTGGCCTCAGTTCAATTCGGTCCAGAACAGAGGGGTTTAACAGGTAAACTCCCGCATTAATTTTGTTGCCGACAAATAGTTTTGGTTTCTCCACAAATTTCTCAACTTTCCCAGTAGATTCTTCCATGACAACCACACCATATTTGGAAGGCTCATCCACCTAGAAGAAGAAAATATATCAACTACTGACTTGATAGAATCTTAACGAAGTGCCTATGAAGTTAAAAGTATATCTGAACTCAAGTGTTTTACCTTGGTTACCATGATTGATGCCTCTCCCCCATGACTCTTGTGGAATTCAATCATTTCTTTAAGTGGATACTCACTGATAACGTCACTATTGAGGACAAAAAACGGCTCGCCTGAATCATCTACCAGTTTGTTCCTTGCAAGGGCCAGAGGGCCAGCTGTTCCAAGTGGCTCTGTCTCCTGAGAGCATGTGATCTTGATCCCAAGCTTTTTCTCAAATTCTTTCAAGAAATTCAACATTATCTGCAGAAATAAAGATTTATTGTATCTATCACTGCAAACCTCAAGTAAAGTAGGTGAATAAAAAAGAGTTATTTCCATACTTCTGGCTGATAATTGATTGCCAGAACTACTTCTTCCACTCCAATAGCCTTGAGAGCTTCTATCTGGACAGTGAGGGAGAAAAAGGCTTTTCAGAACAGCAGCATGATTAAACGAAATCATCTCCTTAAAAGCAGTTTAATTTGCGACATTCTCTAATTTATACTCGATTCGAGTTTGCCAGAAAATGAATATATCTTAGATATTCTCTAATTTCTGTTACAACCAGAATTAGAAAATCGCTAATTTCATGTCAATATTTCTTTCAAATAAACGGTACAAAAATAACCATAATATTAGCAGGATGTACTAGGAGCATCTTGAAAAATGGGGTCTGGAGGAAGATAAAAGGGGGTGGGGGAATACCTGGTGCAGGATCATGGGTTTATTAGCAAAGTCAACAAGTGGCTTGGGGACACTGAGGGTCAATGGCCTCAAACGTGTTCCAAATCCTCCAACAAGAATAAGTGCCTTCATTGTGATGTGGTAAATTCTGCTTTCTGTGGACAATGACAAAGAAAATAGCTTTGACACTCGTTTAAGAAGACGAGATCCAATGAGAAGAACGAAGAAAAAAAAAGTTATTATACTTTGTACGCATGCATGTGCATATATCTATGCAAAGAAAGATGTATTTATATCTTTGAACCCATGCATGGCTTGTACATGTATATATATCCTAGCAAAGAAAAATGGACTCACATGACACTCAGCAGTCAGTACCATCCACAGAGGGACCTAGAGAGAAGCAGATAAGAGACTCCTCACTTGACCAACAAAGTTTGAAAGGAACCTCAAAATATAAAAAGCAGCCGGCAGATTAAACATTGATCCATGCGATTACCACAATAATTACAAAATATTTAGCTGTCAACGAGAACTCAAGAACCTTGTAGCATAATAAATACTGCTCCAAACATTTGAACGTCTCCACATCTGGAAGTTTTGTTTTTTACATCATTGAAAATTTAAATAGTCCAGTTCCTAAACATCAAAAACCATCTCACAAAAGGCTAGAGTTCTTTTGGAAACTATTTTCAAAAAAAAATTCAGAATAAAAATTTAGTAAAAAAAAGAAGGCGTTCTTCCCTTTACGAAATAACAAATTGGTAAATTTAAGCGTACACGATAACATTGAAATTCACGATTAGTTTTAAAACCAAGAACCTGAAAATTCACTTTGAAAACTGTATTAGAATCAATCTCTGAGAATTTCCTTCTCCACCAAAAGGATTGAAATACAGCAATCAGAATTCAGATCGAAGGGTAGTTGAAAGGAAAATGCCTAAACAAAAGATTTTGGCATGCTGCACAGTATGATTTCATTTTATTACCTAGATTGTCCAATAAAATTATTTTAGTGTAATTGACCCATATTTTTTTGGAAACCAAAGCAAAAACTTTACATCAAATTATTGTGTTTGTTTCCTTAGGTGGCTTGTAAGGATGAATTTAACAGGCGAATCATAAAAGATATAAGGTTAGTCCTGAAATTCTAAAATAAAGCATTTAAATCATTAGCCGAACACAAACGAAAAGAGAATGTCGAGTGAAGTATAGATCTGTATACCAGAAAATTATCGTAACCTTATCAAAATGATTCATTGTTCTGTCTCATATAAATTCTTATCTATAAGTAATATGAATAATCAAAAAGGTAAACTTAGGAGAATAGCCGCAATCTTATCAGATCTGCCATCACACAGAGCCAAACAACTTAATTATCAAAGCACTCTTCGAATCAATGAATAAGATCAAATTAACAAATTTCAAGCGCAAAGAAATCAAATCAGATAGTCGAACACGGAATATGGAGTACGGAGTCAATATTTCAGATTCGAAACCAACAGCAACCACATTGTCAGATTAACCCTTCATACGACACCAAAGAACACTTTCAAAAGCTCCAAATTCCCTCCCGATCTCAAAAATCATAGAACACGCAATTAAACCACGGATCTAGCAGAAAAAACAAAGAAGAATGGAAGACAGAATTACCTTAGATCTCAGGAGATCAGAACCCGAGCTGAACCGGAAATGAAGTCGAGTTGCGACTAGTCAACCGACCGCGAGAGCGCTCTCAGTTTTTCCCGCGGAAGGACCCTCTCACGGTTGGTTCGTCGCCGTGTTATGATCCAAAAAGGATGCCTGCCGAGGGAAGAAAGGCTTATCGGGCAATTCAGTGAATGAAATGCCGACCGAATTTATTGGGCAACAGAAATCTGTATCTTCCTCCCTTACGGATAAAATCGTCGAAATATCGTCATTTCTACGATAATAATCCATGTTTCCGCGAAATATGAGATGCACAAAACTTCAAGCCTAAATTAATTAATAATAAATAAAAAAGTCCATAGAATTTTGTATCTAAAAATCGAAAATTTAATTATACCTTCAACTTTAAAAATAAAAAATATATGTATCGATAATTTTGTATACATATCATTAATATTTTAATTCAAAAATAAGCTAAACTTTCACTAATTTTATTAATACTCTTACAAAAGTTAAAATTTTCAAAAATATTAGTACAGAAATAAAATTATTAATATTACATTATTAACTCTAAAAAATTATGTAAGTACAAGAAAGAAAATTTGAGACATTTGTATCAGACGCGATTGACTCCGTACTTGCTGGTGGTTGAAGGGAGTGGTTTCAAAGATGGCCAGCTCGTCGGAAAATTATATGGACGAGGCCATAAAAGCTACAAACCGTTGCCCGCATCCGATTGGCTGTGAGGCTCGTAGAATCACAGTCGTGCGTTAAAAAAGAAAAAGGTGTTTATTGAGCGCATCCATTGCTTCATCCTCTGTTTCTGTTCTGTGTTTACTGATTTTAAGGCTTGGCAGTGGCGACGCTTATGATGTACTGAATCTCCTCCACCACCTCTTTCATGGAAGGCCGATTCTGCCTTCTCTCTTCCAAGCATCCCACTGCCAGAAACCCCAAAGCCTTCATCGTGTCAACCTCCATGTCCGTGGCTCCCTTCTTCAGCCTCGGATCGATGACATCCACCAATTTCTCTTCTTCCACCATCCGCTGCACGTATACCGCCAAATTCACGTCGTCAGGCTCCCGGTTGAAATCGATGGCCTTCTGCGATGTCAACAGCTCCAGCAGAACCACTCCGAAACTGTACACGTCGCTCTTGTCAGTCAACTGGTAGTTCCGGTAGTATTCCGGATCCAGATACCCCAGAGTACCCTGCGCGCAAGTTGAGATATGGCTTAAATCTGTTTCCGCCAATCGGGAGAGGCCGAAATCCGAAACTTTGGAGTTTAGCTTATTGTCTAGTAGGATGTTGCTGGATTTCACGTCTCGGTGGTAGAT